TTACAAATTTCTTCCCCCCCCCCCCCCATCTTAGACATGTTAAGGCGTAATACAAAGCATCGTGTCTACTTTAAAATCCATATTGTGAGTCAGATGTGAATTTGCTATTGATAGAATAATGAATCTGCCAAGGAAATAAAAATCATAAAATCATAATAAACATCCATGCATAACAATAGGCCAGTGGTTCTCAGTGTGGTCTAGGGGCCCCTGGAGGCCTCCGAGAGACTTTCAGTCTAATAAATAAATCTTTTAACATTTCTAAGTTTTAATTTCTAATGTAATAAATATCAGTAGATATAATCCACATAAACCAAAGCTCTTTGGGGTCCTCAATCATTTTTAGGAATGTAAAGGGGTCCTAAGACCAAAATGTTTGAGAACTACTGCATAGGCAATGGGAGCTAAATATTTTCCTTTTGCAAATACTTCACTGAGTATACAGAGAATAATGACAGGGTGCACTAAAGCATATTTTTGTGCATAAATCGTACTAGGATTCAAACAAATGAGGACAGAATATGCAAACCACCACTACCACCTCAAAACCAAAAATATTGAATTCTTTTGCAAGAAGCAAGCAAGAGAAATATAGGAGATCAATTAGAAAAAATGAAAAATATCATGAATCATATATTGATATGAGTCATAAAAAGCGTAACATTAGAACTCAAGAAAAGTCAGTGTTCAACATAAGTAAGCTTATAATTAAAAGGAAATTTAACTCTGGGAATTTAAAGATAAAGCTAAACAGAATTAAGAGGTATGATTAAACTTAAACATTGCCATCTAGATAGAAATCGTGCAGAGAACAATATCCACGTGTCCTTAACATTTCCCTAATTATCAAGGGAAACACAAATATTCTTGCATGTTAAACACCAAGATTACGAGGTCCCAGCCACAGATGATGGAAATATTGCTAGGCATTCAGTAAAGTAAACAGAGCATACAGTCCTTTACCATAGATCTCTCCTGAAATTTGACTGCTGTGGCTCAGATAAGGCAATATAGATATTATTTAAAGCATTTTAAGTACAGGTAGTCCTTGGTTAACGACTGCCTCATTCAGAGCCTATTCAAACTTACGACAGTGGTGAAAAAGCAGAGTTATGATCGGTCCTTGAACTTACGGCCATCTCAGTGTTCCTGCAGTCACATGATTGTGATTCAGGCACTTTGCAACCAGCACACATTTTTTAAATAATTTTTTTATTGCTTTTTAATTAATAACAAAAAAGAAAAACAAAAGAAAAACAAAACACAAAACATAAAACATAAAAATAATAATTCACTGTCAAGAACAAGAAAAAAACATTGAAAAGTGCTATTCCAAAAAAGTGACAAAAATACACTGTGCTATGTTTTTTTTCTTTTGTTGTATCATTATAATAGTCACCCTCCAGGGGAGATGGGCGGCATACAAATTTAATAAATAAACAATAAATAAATAACAGTAAATAGTTA